TAGTAAAATGTATACAGAAATCCAAAAGGGGAAGAGAAGGGAGGAGGGAGGCTGAGGATGGGGAGGGGGAGAAATCACAGGTTTTTGGAGTTTGGTGAGTGAGGAAGGAGCTGAAGGAATTAAGAAAGACCCTGTGGGGTCCTGAAAAGATGGGGTAATAATGGGTTTATATCAGTGGTGATTAATAAAACACAGTGTATGAGAATGTGTGAACCTATATGAATGGAACACGGTATTTATGAATTTTGTATAGACCAATATAAAATAATAAAAGCCCCAAACCATGAGGCTTACATAGGAGTACATTACTTCTCAGTCAGACTGCCAAATAAAGCTGAGAGGTGTTTAAAAAAAAAGTTAATTTCTGACTCCTTATTTTTCTATTTTAGTAATTTGACTGGTTTTTATGTATGTTTGATCACTCCAAAGTTGGATTTATTTCTCACAGTGTTTGTGTAGTCCTTCACTGGGACCCACCTGAGGGTACAGTTAGCTCTTGGACATTATTTCCTGACCCAGGGCATGGTCTCAACTAGCTCATACACATGTCAAAGCAGGACCGGGGAAAAGGAAGACAGAAGAATTGATCGATTTGACTAGTGGTGTTGGCAAAAAATAGGAATGAAGGAACAAACAAATAGGTATTAGAAGACATGAAACCAGAGTCCTCCTTGGTGGGGTGGCTGGTGAGACCTGGATTTGAATTCTTTGGAAACACCGGCTTCTGGAAAAGCTCATAATGGTTGGCAAAGTAGGTCAGTCCACACAGAACTGAACCCAGCCCATTGCCAAATTGTTCTGACTCCTAACAGTCCCAGAAGACCGAGTAGATAACTCAGTAAGTTTTCCAAGATTGACCTCTTTAAAGAAGAAACGGCCACATCTTAACTAGAGCAGCTGCTGAGTTTGAATCACTGTCCTGCGGTTACCAGCCAGGCACCTAACCACTGCATCACCAGGGCTCCTATTACAGAACCAAGAGCCTCAAAGAGGTTGATGAAATGGCTTCATCAATGGACTCATACTAGTGCACATGAAGATGGTGTAGAGCTGTTACATATGTTCTTGTTGTGTACTATCGAGTCTGAACTGCCTATAGCTGACCCTCTGCCGGGTTTTCAGAGGCAGTAAATCACATGGGAGGAAACTGCCCATCTTTCTCCCAGAGAGCAGCTGGTGGATTCGACCCTTGTTACTGTGAGGAGTTGGCAGCACACACCAGCCGACTAAGCAGCAGTAACAGGGAGGGAACCTTTGGTTGTGAAGAGAACGTCATGAAGCACTTGTGTCTGTCTCGTGATCAGGGTTCTCCAAATTCACAAGCTTAACAAGATAAGTGCCAGCACTCAGCTTTGCCCAACGAAAAGGGATTAAGATTAACTATGAGCTTGGGAAGAATTCAGAAAATATCAGGTGATTCAGCTGTCTTTTAATAGAGAATGTCTTTATTTAGGCTCATGTTTATAAATTGTAAGGGTTTCTTTGTATTGATTTTGCTAAGATGAAATAGAACTATTAAGTCCTATTAAGTGTTTTAATATTTACAAAAGAAATTTATAAGCTCATTCTTTTACTATATTTTTTTATGCTTACAAATTGGGAAATGTGTTATTACAAACTTCAGAAGTGAGGCATTTTAGTATGTGAATCAAGGTTTTATGAATGCTGTCCTAGGGAGACAGAAGCCAACTTCCAGGCTGGTGTGAACACAGAAAGCCTTGTTTCACATATTTGTCAGGAAAAGGTGTGTTGACTCATACTACATACTTGTTCAAGAAAATGAATGGGAATGATTGAATGAAACACAATGTGCATCAAGGGAAGTGCCAAACATAGTGTATATGAATTTTATATCAAACCAATATAAAGAATCTTTTAAAAATGATGTCCTGATATAGCCTCTAGAGGCAAATAAATTAAAGCCTTTTTATTAATTTTTGTATTTTCTGTATTTTATTATTCCTGAAAAATTAATGTCACTTTTCTATAAATTCAGCACAATAGTATTATACCAAGATCATGGTACTTGTTAAAAGAAAGTTCTAAATGGCCAAGATTTTTGGAGGGGAGTGGTGTTTATAAAGGCTATTTATAATTAATGTTAAAATTATAGTCTTAGTCTCTTTTTTCTTTTTTAGCCCATATGAATTATTTGGCTTACTTCTGCATTTGTTTTTGTTGCTGTTATGTGCCATCAAGCCTGGTCTCAGAACTGACTTAATAGCTGAGCTCCAGCAGGTTGTTACAGATCGTGTAAACTACATGGAAGTGCACCCATCTTTCTCCCTCTGAGCAGCTGGCGAATGTCAGCATTACGCCACGTCTGCACTGAGTTTGTGTTGCACAAGGCCTGATAGCAACTGGCCTGGAGTTCTAGTCAGGAGTCCTTCTCAGGTTACAGTGTATGTGGGAAGAAGGAGGGGAGCTGTTCTGTTGTCATATTTGATGAGTAGGAAATCTGTAATGTTTGTTGTCTCATTCTTAGATTCCACCTTGAAGATGTTTTCTAAGGAATCCAAAATGCTCCAACGAAGTATATCATTTTCAAATATGGTGAGTTCATGAAAAAAAAACACAAACCAAACCCTGTTATACTGGGAATTCATGTAATAATTTTATACGTACATATATTTAATTTATCCCAGAACAGTTATTTTTAATTTCTATGTTGTAGCTACAGATTTAATCTTACTTCTGCATGTAATTTAAAATTTTTTTCAGGTTGCCTTTTATATATACTACTGTGATTTCATTTTTGGCTGTAACAATTTGAAGACATGCCCCAGTAAATGTCTTTAATTAATCTTCCCCTTTTCAACTCTTTACATACTACTAAATTATAGAGGAGCTCTGGTGGGCTAGTGTGTAGGTATAAGGAATTGCACTGCTAACTCAAAAGTACGTGAATCTACCAGCTGCTCCGCTGGAGAAAGGTGAGCAACGTCTTCCCCAGTAGCTAGCTTACAGCCTCTGAAAAACTGCTAGAGGGTCAGCTATTGCTTGGTTCCAACTTGATAGGATATAACATAATAAATAATGTATACATTTCTGAGTTGGCCCTGGTGGTGCACTGGTTAAACTTTCAGCAGATAATTCGGTTGGCAGTTCAAAGCCACAAGCAGCTTTTTTTAATGCATTGTTGCACATTATCCCTTCTACCTCCCCACAATGTGCCCATTGTTCCAGATTGTTCTCATACCTTTGATGCCTAATCATATATTCCTTTCGGACAGTTTCCTCCTCATCAGTCCTAATGCAGTGTTCATTATCCACTCTTTTTCTAGTCTCCTCTCAAACCTCCCCATGTCAGTCCTTCTTTCTATCAGTGGTGTTATGCAGTGTTTGTCCTTTTGTGACTGTGGTATTTACTCAGCATAATGTCCTCCGGGCTCACCCATGTTGTATACTGTTTTATGAGTTCATTGCTTTTCAGTTCTTCATAATATTCCATTGTGTGAATGTACCATAGTATTTCTGTCCGTTCATTTGTTGATAGGCACTTGAGTTACTTCATCTCTTTCCTGTTGTAACTAATGCAGCAATACAAGCAGCTCTTATTGCCGAAAAGACCTGGTGATCTGTCCCTGCGGATGACAATGTTGGGACCCACGGAGGGTAGCTCTGCTGTGTCCTGTAGGGTCAACAGACTTCAGACTAGAAAACCGTTCCTTCTGAAAATATTTGTTGTTGTTAATAGAAATCATCAAAAAACATTTTGAAATTACCTAATGAATTTTGGATGTTTTCCTTACAATATAAATTTGTAATCTAATGGTTTCCCATCTTTGAAGAAACTCAGTATCTGTAGTTAGCCATTGAAAAAACCTGGACAAATATATGAAAAGGGCCAACACAAATTTGTGCATTATTTGGAAACTTGTAAGATCATTTTATCATGTAAAGGATTTACAGCTATGGTAAAGTATTAATGTTGTTGATTCTTTTGTGTTTCAGGCTCTATCATCTTGTTTACTTTTACCAGGAGATGCCACTGTCCTAAGTTCTTCATGGGATAATAATGTGTATGTATCTGTGACATGCTTCTTTGCGGTAGCTACTTACTACACGTGTGCACATCAAGCAGTAAGGGCAAAATCCTTCATTGCTACATTCTGAGTTGCTTTCTAAAATAAAGTCGATAGAACGACAGTACAATTAGATGGGAACTTGCATATTTGAATCTGATAATCTCCAGTGTGACTGTTTTTCTCCGAGTTTTCAATTGAAGATACAGATGATCCAGAATCTCAAAAGTTCTAGTTTTATCCCATGTCTGCAAGCCCACCCTATCCTGTCTTCCTGTTTACTTGCTCATATGTAAGTGCGCTGCAACCCCCAATAAAGTTGAGCTGGATTGACAAAAAAAAAACAACCACAAAATCTAGAATATTATTTATTTTATATTATTAAATAATAAACAAATTATTAAATATTTCTTTATGTAAAACTAGAATAATTTTTAATATTTTGGCTTAATCACATGAGCAGAGTTGTAACTGTAGTGGATCTTAATAACTGCAAAATTAAACAATATTATGGTTTTTAAAAATGTCTTAAAATCAAGCTTAGCTCTTGTTTTAACAGTTCTCATTATCTTTCATCTTAGCTATTTTTATTCCATTGCGTTTGGAAGACACCAGGACACCTTAATGGGACATGATGATGCTGTCAGTAAGATCTGTTGGCATGACAACAGGCTGTATTCTGCATCGTGGGACTCGACAGTCAAGGTTTGTAAATAATATGTAATTTTAAAATATTGATATCATATAAACATTAATCTGTCTTTTGGCAGTGTGTCCAGTCATCTTTTTTTTACACAGTATGTGATAGATATATAGATTGAATGTTAGGTGTATGCTATTTTCATTTATGCACTTCTTGATCCAGTAGGAAGTTACCACAGTTTTTGTACTGTGTGTTCAGATGTGGGTTGAATGAGAACAGATTATACATTAGATCCTTTGCTGCTTCATGAACATGGTGACTGAATGTTCATGCTTTTATATAACATGTGGCCTCCCTTAAGCTGTGTTATGACTTTGGCACATTACCTGTCTGACATGAAAACAAACAAGGAAACAAAGCTAGATTACATTAAAGTGAAGAATTGTTAAAACTTTGTTTTTAAAAACTTTACATTTTAATGTAAAGCATGTATTTTAGTCCCATTCTTTTGATACAGGTCAGTGCCTAACCTTTTCTTTGCAATTGTGTGTACAATGTTACATAAACTATACAGAAAAATACTTATCATCTTTTGTTTTTAACTTGCATTTGTGTTAAACAACGTAAGAATATTAAGTCCTTAGAATTCTTTTAGTACAAGTATTTCCCGGTTGTTTTGTTTTGTGTGTGTGACTTGACTTTTTGAGTCTTCTGAAAATGTTAAGATGCTACAATACTCTGAATTCATGCTGTTTTAGTTCACAAAGTATTTAAATCACATAATTATAAGAGCAAGTGCATTTGATTGACACAGGTAAAGCAACAGGTACAACAAGCAGTCAGCTCCCAGTACAGACATGTTGTTGTTGTTATGTGCTGTCGAGTTGTTTGCAACTCATAGCGACCCTATGTACAACAGCCCTAAACTGTGCTCTATCCCGTGCCAATCTCATTGCCTCTGACACACCCATCCCGATTACCCCAGTCATAGATGGTGAGAATAAAAGTTGAGCATTGTGGAAAAAGCACTTGTAGTTTAACAAATACATTACATGGAAGTTTAGGAACGCCTAATGTTAAGTGATTGAAGGTCCCCTTTCTACCTGTGCCCCATTGCAGGTATGGTCCAGCATTCCCACAGAGATGCTGGGAACCAAAAGGCACCATTTTGACCTGCTTGCTGAGCTGGAGCATGATGTCAGCGTAAGTGGGTCACAGGCCACCACACAGCAGCCAAGCTGAGAAGCCTGGTGGGCTGGATGGTGGTTTTTTGGTTTCACTTGTTTGTGTATGTCATCTTCTTTTGCTTTAATTATTGGAAAATACTATAATTACTAGAGGAAATCTCAATTGATTCCTTGGATTTCCAAGTTTAATTCGTTTTTCTCTAGTTTGCTTCTTTGCATAATTCCCTGATAATTAGCAATCACCTAAGTAGATTTGCGAAATACCAGTCTCCAAGTATGACAATGACGATTTGGGTACCTTCACCTCCACCATAATTCATCATCTTTGCATGCACAGTAGAAGGGTCCAGTCACAGGGCACGGATGGAGGGACACCATCTCCCCCTCCTGGTGCACATCTGAATGTGTGCCTGTAGGCATATCTGAGATCATCTCTCTGTTCTCACACTCCCGACACTGGATCACAGTGGCACATCATAGGCTGCGTTTTTACAGGACGTATTTAACACACTTGTATTGGTGCCTTATTTACATGGTTTACAGAGCAACTGAATGGAGAAATACTTAGTATGTAGTCTGAAATGGATGCTGTTATAACCTTAAGATATTTTTCTCTCCCCAAATCTCATTATTCATGATGAATAATAATTACTTTTGTGCTTCAAGCAGCTTGATACCAAACTAGAGTCTTAAGAGTTTTTCTGAAAAAAAGAAAAGAAATAGTTTTCTGAGTTCTAGGCTGTTTTAGACAACATTTCCTTTCCTTTCACTTCTACTTGCTTTTTCCTTTCCTTTCACTTCTACTTGCTTTTGGTAGCATATGAGGAACTTGATTTTTTTTCATATATATATGCCATCACTTGCTAGGGTAATGCTGAAATACAGCTGTATTAAGCTCGTACAACATACAGTAGAAATCAGTGTATAAGGTATGTGAGTCATGGAGCTCTGGTTGCCTAGTGGCAAGAAGCTGTGCTGCAATCCCAAAGGCACACAATTCGAGGCTACCAGTTGCTCCACGGGATAAGGGTGGGCAATCTCCTCCTCTCATGCGATAAAGCTTCAGAAAACCTGCCAGAGGGTCAGCTGTTTTGACAATGGTAAACAACAAGTATGTGAGTCAGCTCTACAGCTAATGACGAGCTTTCTGAATAGGACACTGACCCCTGTGCTTTCTTTAGGTAGATACAATCAGCTTAAATGCTGGGAGCACACTCTTGGTTTCTGGCACTAAAGAAGGCATGGTGAGCATTTGGGACCTCACGACTGCCACCCTGCTTCACCAGGTACCCTGCCACTCAGGGACTGTGCATGATACTGCATTTAGCCCAGGTGTGTATTTGCCTTTCTAATACAGATGATACCCACGAAATTGGAAATGCTGCTTTGAAAGAAGCAATACAAATTTTAGAAAAACCCAGTTTGCTGATGAATGCTATTTTGTGTATAGCTAAAGTAATGCCAGAAGGTGTTCTGCATTTGGCATTTGTACCTAATAAAGCAGCAGTAGATATTGTCCTTAACTCTCAGCTCACTAGAGAAATTAGAATATGTAACTGAATGCTTATCAAAGTGCTCTTACAGCACCTAAAACACAGAAGAATATAAGTTACTGGTTAAGTACAGTATGACAAAGAAAATGGGGATTATGCCATTAAGTTTAGCGCAAACGTCTCAGCCCATGTCCTGTTTTCTGTGCCAGATAGCCGCCATGTCCTCAGCACGGGCCACGACGGCTGTCTCAACGTCATCGACGTACAGACGGGAATGCTCATCTCGTCTCTGACTTCAGAAGAACCACAAAGGTAGACTTCCCTTGGATCTCAGTGAAGGCCTCGCTCTTGAGAATGTTCAATGGGCTTTGGCTTGTGTAACACACCTCTTTCTTTGTGACAAAGGGATTCTCTCTCAATCTTTCCTGCAGGTGCTTTCTCTGGGATGGAAATACAGTTTTGTCTGGAAGTCAGTGTGGTGAACTGTTTGTTTGGGACCTCCTGGGAGCTAAAATCAGTGAGCGAATTCAGGGCCATACAGGTGAGCTTATCGTAACCCTTCTTTTCCATGAGGGAACATCATCTCAGTCAGACCCACATGTGCTGTCAGCATCAGGGCAGGCCGGTCATCTCCACTTAAGATTGATAAGGACTTATGATTCATTTTTATATTGACTCCCCAAAATAAGTCTTTATATTAACTTCCAGATGGAGAATTAAAAACCATAGTAGTAAAAGTTCTAGTGGTTTTTCAAAAAAATAAATACCCTGTAAATGTTTATGAAAATTAATAAAATATATAGAAAAAAAATACCTTCACATGGTAAAAAACCAAAGGAGATCAAAAGTAATACATTATAAAAATCTTCCCCTGACCCATCTCCCAAGGGGTATTTCCTGGTTTCTGCATCTCCTGAACATGTTAACAGGACAGAAGCTGGGCCCTTGCTTTTCACACTTAGCTGTATCACTTGCAGAGTCATGCTGTAGTGTTTGCTGACACTGACATGCTTTCTCTCGATCATCAGACTTAAATCCTAGGGTCCACAGTTAGCCGCTGATGTCCTACAGTGAGCAGGGCCTTCAGTGTTAAGTCTCTGTGCTCTGTCACTTGACTTTGAATGGCTCACTCTTTATACCTTAAAAGTGCGATGCTTTGTTCCACCTCAGTGACCTTTCAGTGGAGAAGGAAGTAAATCAGCATCCTGAGGCCAGTTCCCCCTTCTGTCTCCTGACTTCCTGCCTTACTCCCATGCTGTAAGAGTCAGCACCTCATTTCTGAGCTCTTGTGGTGTAGTCTGTCAGGTGCTTACTGCTAACTCTAACACAGATCAAGTCCATAGCTTTTTTTTTTAACTTTTTGTGTGCCATCTCATCGGATCTGACTGGCACAGAAGATTGCCCTTCCGTCTCCAGCAGAGCATCTGGTGGATTTGAACCATGTGGCTTCAGTATTGCAGTGCAGCTTCTTGCCAGAGGCCACCAGAGCTCCCTTGATTTACAGCCTATTTAAACCCTCTGCAGGGTCAGCTCTGAGTCATTGCGGTTCTTGGTTAGCATGAGATTTGTATGTAATTTGCATTTTACATTTTAATTTGCATTACATTGTAATTCATACTTTTTTCTCTTTTTTAAAAAAAATTTATATATTGATTTGCATACAAAATCCATACACATTGTGTTCAATTTATATACATTTGGTTTCACACGCCCCTCTATTCATTGTGTTTCACATAATCATTCTCATACATTGTGGGGCATGATTTTTTAAATTAAAAAAAAATTATTGGTTTACAAAATGAATATACAGTTTTTTACACTATCCTTCTTGTATTGAAATGGTTTCTTATTCCTCACAAGTTCTTTGTAGCAAACTGGTTTTTCTGCACAGGTATTTTATGACTATGAGAACAAGAGACAACAGGGCTGACTTCAGCATTTGGTGAACTCCTAAGTCTGTAAGTCTGTCTGTCCCAGGCCTTCCTGCCCCTCTGACGAGAGTGTCTCCCGCAGGTGCCGTGACGTGCATGTGGATGAACGAGCACTGCAGCAGCATCATCACAGGCGGTGACGACAAGCAGATCTTGTTCTGGAGACTGCAGTACTAAGTGCCTTTTCCTTCTGGAGAACCTGAATCCTATTTTTAAACTAAACCAAATTTTTGACTGAACCGGTGAATGTGCAATGATAGAAGTTTTGACACATGGAACCCATGTGGCTTTAACTTTCTAAATCATGACTTCATTGAAAGTCCTTAGCTGCCATCTTGTGAGGCAGAGAAGACAGCAATATTCAGAACACATCACATTTGCTAAGCAGGATGATGGTCAGAGGACGGACATGGGTGACAAAATCTAAAGACTACATAGGCTGGGAAAAGTCCGAAGTATTTAAGTGTAGAATTTTCTCAGAAAATGTGCACCACTGCCCGTCCAGAGTAGCTATTCTGTCTTCCTGATCTACCATAGTTGCTACCCATGGATTTCTGGTCATATTTCCAAGGAGTGGGTTACTTCTATCACCTACTATGTCCAGATTCTAAGAACCTGGGGACAGATTAGCAGTTCTTGTAAAACAATTCATTGTATATAGGAATGGTTTGTACTTCATTACAGCTGTCAAATGCTCATCTTTTCTATATTAAAATTATTTTTATGTAATGAGTTTTCCTTTTCTTACCTAAAAGACTTGGTACAACTGTCTATCACTCTAGGAAATCAGAGTGACCCCAATGTAGTTTTTTTAATTTTTTATCTTTTCAGATTCAAATCCAGAACAGAACAGATGATCAAACTGGGAAATACCATTTTGCTTTTTAAGATTTCAAAGATGACTGGCTGTAAAGAGTTCAGATTTCCTTTTATTATAAACCTAGCCATAGTGAGTGATTTTAACTTCTCTATCCTCTTAAAACATGCTCATTATCAGCGTGCTGTGTGGGTGGAGTCTGGAGGAAGTTGGGCTAATCTGCAGGTGGCATCTCTCTAGTGACTCCATGGGGCAGAGACAGGGTCTCCTCCCTTCAGTTTATGGCCCCTCAGGAACCCACTGGAGTATAAGCTATGAATTGGTTTTAAGGCAGTGACAATGAGGCAACAAGAAATATCTTTCAGACAGTGTGGAATTAAGAGGTATTTATCACACCACAGCAGTCCTTTTCTAGGTAGTCTTAAATGCCACTGAACACTTCTTGATGTCTTGTGACCCGGGAAAGCCACTCGCCTTGAGCTGCTCCTGCCGCTAAGCGTGCACGGTGCCAGCAGGAAACGAGATCCATTTGGATCTTGTGCCTGTCAGTCTGCATCTCAGCTGGATGAACTTCAGTGCAGGCACCGTCAACATAGCACAAGTTTTCCATGGTGCACCTCATGCCGGCTGCTGTTAGAGAGGACACCGCATGGCCCCATTACTAAATTCATTCACAAGCGTATGATGCAGTAACAGTCTGAGATTTTACTTTATTTGTATTTATAATTAAAATAGAATACACATAATACAAAGGATCAAAATAAAGTGTTAGTGCCATTTTGTTGGCAGAGAGGTGTCAGCAAAGAGACCAAATTACCAAGAAGACATTCTAAGACAATTCTAAAGCAGCTTGGTTACATAATGCCCAGGTTAGGTTTTGTCTCATTCTACAAATGAAACAAAAGGACTCAAAATTTTTTATCCTGTTTAGTATAAGAATTTTTACATTAAATATATAACAATCCATTTCTCAGAAAGTAATACCAGTAGCTTTTAAAAAAGCGTCCATTATGCAGTTTTTCTAGAAAATTCCTTAATACAACTAAAAGCTAGGCAATAGCTCGTAAGTACCATTAAACTGTTGTTGGTTAGTCTATCTTTCAGCTAAATATGGAATGACATTCTGGGTTATAGAAAGGCAGCAATAACATTCTGGCTCTCATTCTAGATGCTTAACATGGTTAAGGCTTAAGCATATTAAGTGAAGGTAGTTAAAACTTAATTATAATCATTATAATCTTTTACAGTCTATAAATACACTGTAATGCTTATGCAGAATGAAACCAATGTTACTTATTGATGTGTTATGCACACATACAACTAGAAACAGAATAGCACAGGCACTCATTCTAAATGGAATATAGCAACACAGTAAAAATGCAAATATACCATGGAAATAAAGTAGCATGAACAGCACTACCCTGCATTTTGAATAATAGTGACTTACTGTAACACAAAAGTGAGTCTGTATCAGTCATCTTAATCATAATGGCTTTCAGAAGCATCAAGTTTCCAGTAGATAAACTACTATCCTATGGAGGTCAGTACATCTTTTGAAAGTTTCACATCTATAAAACCGGGATAAGGCTACAGCTATCTTGAAGTGTGAACAAGATACAGGTCAGAGGGTAGGGTCCCAGCCATGTAAGGAGGAGACAGGCAGGTCCTCATGCAGCATATGCTCGCTGGCTCCTGAAAGCTTCGTGTGCATAATAGAGTTGCCAAAGAAGTGAAATGGAGAGGTGCAGCTAAGTTTCCATGATTTGACTTTTAAACCTCAGGAATAGTATGGTCCATCAGGCTTTTCATAATGCTTGGTGCCATCCTACAAGAGAGTAATTTTAATTATTTACATACCAGAAGGGATTTTTCCAAAAATAAGCTCAAGACTACTTACAGTGAAATTTAGTAATTGTTAGCAGCAAGGGAGATTTAGGGGGGAGGAGTGTATTTTTAACAAGCTCAGATCTAAATTTTGGGTAATTTGGTGGTCTGTAGGTACCTGATGTGCAAGGCAATATAAGAGGAGACACATACTCCCCTCCCCTTCTTGTATCTTGTCTAGAAAAGGTTGAGAGAATGTAACAGACCCTTCTCCACTAAAGCTGATGATTAGAAAACAAAGGGTGAGGCACAGGAAGGAGGAGAGTGTCAACACCCAAAGGGTGTGATGTGCCACTGAGTCTGAACCAACTCAGAGTTGACCCTCAGTTGGTTTTAGAAGCTATAAATGGCACCTCTTTCTCCACTGCCTCTGAAGTAGCAGCACTACTCTCTCCATTATACTGCCAGAGCTCTCAAGTTTATGAACTCTAAAATGATTAGTCCTGGAGATTTGTTTTATGTAGCTAAAGCTTTGCATTAGCCTAAACACGAGTTTCTATTCTGAAAGTGGGATTCCAAGCTGGCAGAACAGCTATGACAGAGACAGGACTCTGCTCTATAGAACAAATAACATTACAGCCCTTTCTCTCCTACTCAACTCTGCAATTCTCAGTTTATGACTACAGACATTAGCACTACACTCTTACTTGCTGCTGTGTGTGATGCTGAGTAGAAATGGTTCCTCCTCACCGGGAAATAATATCACTGCTGGCACCCATCTTCCTGAAAGCATGGTCACCTCTGCTTGTGTTCTCTTTCCATTAACTAACACACTGCTGTGGACTTGGCACCAACTTGCTTCTGACTTTAGCAAGTTTCCAGGTTAGTAAATTTCTTGGAAGGAGATTGCTCATTTTTTTCCCCTTGAAGTAACTGGTAGATTCAAACTGCTTACCTTTGCGTTGGCAGTGCAACTCTATCTACTCGGTCACCAGGACTCCATTTGGAAATGTCAAAATTTAGGAAATGATGAATTTTATTATATAGTTGGAAAGTTGTGAGTTTTAAAACTCCTATTTTTAAAAAAAAGTACTTCCAATATCTAAATAGTGTTGTTCTTACCAAAGTCACAGGACCATAAATAAAAAGCTAAATTATCTACTTACCTTTTAATAATATGTTCAAAAATGAAAGCAGGCATGATTGTGATAGTAATTACAGTCCCAGATGCTGACAGTATGTCTGCAATTTGAGAGTCCTAGTGAAAACAAGGAAAATTAATCCCATTGCAGCTTAATAGAAAATGATGCTACTATTTAAGTAAAGAAATACATGTTGTATATCCTCTTATGTTTTAATAGTATTTATATTCTGAATATTGCTATTTCTTTTTTTTTTTTACTTCTGCTTATTAAGTTTATGTATACTGTGCAACCAAGCCGAAGGTGGGTGATTGTCATCTGTGGCCCTCCACGTTCAAATTGTCTTCCTGTCCAACATTCTTCTAGGTGGTATAGCACTGGTCTGTGCGTTGCTGTACAGAGGTAACTTGTGGTTGCTGTGATGCTGAAGCCTGTGACAGTGATGTGCCAATCGTGGTAATGGGCACCCATGGTGGACAGTGTTGGCTGGAGCTTCCCGACTAAATCAAGCCTGGAAGCAGGAGCGGCATCCACTTCCAAAATGGCTTGCCTCTGGAAACTCTTATGTACGAACAGTGCTCAGGCTGTTCGTTCATAGGGTCGCTATGAGTTGTCTACGACTCGACGGCATTAAACAACAATACTGATTAAAGCAGTTGATTTTTCATGTTTGATTTTTCTTAGAAACTGAATCAGTAAGTAAATTAAGTTATAGACATAGTCAAAATATCTTTTCATTACTTCAGATTAAGTAATTTTCTAATATGCAATACTTCCATATTCCCCTTAGTTAACTTTAAAAGCCAAGTAGATCTTAGTTAAACTTTAGACCTAAAGAGAGCCCTGTGTAAGAAAACTTAAGTGGGAGAAGAAATAAAAACAAATTACTTATAGATAAGCTGAAATGGACTTATTCCCTATATTCCTAAACTGGTAAAAGTCAATATAAAAATCATCATGAAAGATCTAGCCCAGCCCTTTTGTTATATGGACAATAATTCCAGGAAACAGTTCACTAATTCCAGCAAATTGCTAAGGATACCCGAACAAGGGGTAGAACCTGAGTCCCCACCTCTCCAGTGGAGAGGTCAGTATGAACCTAAACAACTTTATTTATGAAAATAAAGCTGACAGAACAAGATCCACGCTCTGTTCATTACCTTCAATCCAATAACATTCTGTCCATTGACTTCACAGATGTTATGTTCTGTGAGAAGACCATTTCTGGCAGCAGAACTATCTTTCACTATGGATGTTATTTTCCCATTTTTAAAGATAAAACCGACATGCCCTGTGCTGTCCTTATGCATGGTAATAGTCCGTTCAAAAGGCCTGTAAACACAAGAAGACTTGATTGAAAGGCTTAATTCCAATGTAAGCAGTTTATATTGTGATAAAAATGGAATTAAAAAAATATATCAATTTTTCATTAACATATTTCATACCTATTAACCCATACCTATTAACCCATTCATACATATATGTAACAAATTGTATGCCCACAATGTAATCAAACCTCCCATTTCGCTGACTTCCATTAATCTTTCTATACTTGTCTGTGCCTTGCCTTTAGTAATACTGTGGTAATTATTCCCTTACTGTATACTGCCTTTCTTTGCATTCATCTTAGTATGAGCCTTGTCTATTTAATAATTCTTACTCTGCTCTCCCTCCTTTCCCATACCTAGGAATCATTCAAGGTTTCTCATAAGGCAACTTTAATTAGAGTAATGACCTTGTACATTCATGGACTATGTCTGTGAAAAGAATTGTTTTGTTTTGGTTTTTTTAAAAAAAATCTCATCATTATAATTTAACCAACCAACATTTCCTTCTTGGGGGACCAAAGACTTAATTGAACATAATTCTCCATGCAGTTTATTAGAAATCGTTAGGAATTAGCATTAAAAATAATATGCTGTGTACAGAAATCACAGTGCTAAAAATGAGTACTTTTTATTAACTTTTAGTACTCCTAGAACTTAATTGTACTTGTGAATAGTTCTATATAGATGTGGCCCCACACCTTAATTTTGAGATATCTTATAATAAGACTTTAAATGTTGTATTTTAAACAAAGATTGCAGACCAATACAAGCTAACTTCGTCAAGCTCCTATTTTTTTTTTGGGGGGGGGGAATCATGTAATAATAGTAATTTACAAGTTGAGTGTTACAGTGTTTCACCAATACACATAGCAAATTCAAGGCACAAAATAGCTTTGTGTTTTGTTTTTTTAAAAAAAGTCTCATTTGCTGTTCTACAATGTGAATTAAACTGTCAAAACAAATCTTTACACCATTCCATATACTCCATGGGATATGATTTCTCCCCCCCCAATAAAAATGGGGATTTTTCTAGGTAGACTGTCCCATTTTTAGGAACTGTTTCTTTGTTGGAGCTAATCTATATGCTAGCTAAAATTCCATCTGAAAATTGAAAACAACTTTGTGAGGAAAGGTGATTTTCTTAGGCAGCAAAATCCACAGGGAGAAAATGTATGGTATTTTTGGATAACTAGGTATCCAGAGTAAGAGAGATTCTTGATGAAATATTTCCCAGATAAACTGAAAATTCTGCTGTTTCAATTATTATGACTCAAGCTCCTTTTAGAGAGCAGCCTTCCCTCCACTCCAGCTGAATGCTGACCTTTAGGCCAGGTGTATTTTGCTGATTTCTCTCCAGCTCTGCGCTGCCATGCTATATAGTGTGTGCTTTATGACAGACTTGAGTTTATACGGTGTAACTCAGACTGCTCTGCCTTTCTGCTGGTCCAAATTACTATGACATTTTGCTTAGATACACTGAAAAAAACAACCTTTTGAACCAGTTTTCCCAAAGCCAGAAAAGACCAAATTTTAAAACTCTGGGTGTATGAGAAAAGAAAAATACAGGCTGAAGCTCCATTAAAAACCAGTTTTCTAAGAAGGAGGATAAGGGTTAAGTTAACTGTACAGTTTAAGTTCCAGGAGTACAGCCACTGGATTCTGAGCAGCTTCACCCTTGACACCTGTAGGGGTGAGAGCAAGAGAATAAATGGAGGCCAAGGCATATTCTAAAAGTTGTAAACACTAGTAAATTAGATACTCTACTCTCCTACCTTGATGACTGGGTGTCATAACCACTTGAAAGGCCACAGTGGGTTTTAAGAACTCTTGGACTATGTGGAGTTCTGTGTGGATTCTGACCCTTTGATTCATATATTAGCATCCTACTGGATACGTAAGTCATGCACTGGAATGTGAGGTCAGACACCATGCTAGTTAGTTACTACACCAACATATATTTCCTATTTTCGGAGGATAAATGCAAAAAAAATACCTCCTTAGAGGTGTAAACTCTTAAGAGTATAAATGCAAATGAAGAATGCCTATTTCTTTAAAAAAAATATTGTGAGAAGAAAAGAAATCTGTACAACACAATTACAAGCATATGAAGCTAACCACCACCACTTGATAATTTTGGAGAACTAGCCTTGTACTTGAGGGCACTGGCTTGATGCAGTCTGCATCACACTGCACTGCTAATCAAAGGCTGCATGTCTCTAGCAGTACAAATCCACCATGTACTCCAAGGCAGATGAGCTGTCTCTTCCCCTTGAATTTCCAGCCCTGGAAGTCTGAGGTAGGGTGGCCAAGAGGCAGCACTGCCTTGCCAGGATAGAGTTCTCAAGCCTTGTATTTCTGCTGAAACCAGAATACAAGCAACTGACCTGTCACGGATGGTCATGGTGATCTTCTCCCCAGATGCCTGTTTAAGCACTTTGTGTGCCTTGTCAGAGCTCCAGCCAGCACAATTGTCACCATTGATCTGCAGCACCTGATCCCCAAATCTCAGGCCAACCAAAGACGACGGAGAATTAGCCTGGACTAGCTGTACAAATACACCCTAGAGGATAAGAGAAACGTTAGTCAGTTACTACTGTCATGGTTAAGAATGCTGGGAAATTAGGAACCATGTGTCTAAGTTAGAAAGCTACTCTTAAGTTTAAAGGAAAGAAAAAAGCCCATCAATACATTGTTACCTGCAAACAAAATAGCTGAAAAGTTTATTAGGTATGTAACTAAAAAATAAAGCAAAAAAAGGTGGTCTTGGTGGTCATTTCTACCTCAAATCTTGACACGTGACTAAGCCTCAGCCACCCTTTGATATAAAAGAGGGATGAAAAGGAAGTAGGAGAACTAGAGTGAACACGCTTCAAGGACTGTGCTGCCAACACAAAGGCATGTGGTTCAAATCCGCTAGCTGCTCCATAGGAAAAAGATGGGGAGTCAATTCCTCTTTGATTTACTGCCTCTGAAAAACCACTGAAGGGAAGGTCAACTCTTGGTCATTTTGACTCTACAGTACACAACAACAATAACACCACTCAGGGTTAAAGTGAATAAGTGTCAGAAATTTAAGGGTGTCTTTTAGAGCTTAAGGCCAAATGACCTTTATAAATGAAAGATCCTTTTACTGATGTGCCAAATTATACATACTCAAAATAACACCAGGGTTATAATTTCCTTTTAAAAACTGTTCTTTGGTAACCACTTATCTAAAATTTTATGCTTATCCTTTAGAAAAATCAAATTTACTTTGCCATCTATTAATTCAGACTCCAGATCTACATTTTGGCTTTGTTCCAAAAGCCAGATCTTAATACTTGATACAGTTTTGAAAAAAGAACAGTATAACTTCATATTTACCACAGAAATACTTTTTAAGAAGTAGAGAAACATTTGGAAAATTTGGTTTATAAAAATATTTCTTTGCTAATTTTTGACTAAAAAGAATTAACCATGAAATAGAGAAAATGCATGATTGAGAACTACTAAATCCACTTAAATCATTAAAATTCTATAAATTCTCAATCTCAAATATTAAACACCACCAAAAATTAAACTGGTAAGTACAAAAGATGAGAGAAACTGGTAAAATAGAAAGAAAATCTATAAGGACTAGACTCTAAAATCCTAAAATTTCTTCCATGTCTCTGGAGTAGATCAACTCAACTCATATTTAACTACCATGGAGCAAGAAAGGCTGATGACAAGTCCCTTATGGGACAGAAGAGCTGAGGAACAGCCCTGACAAAGGGTAGCAATCCATTCAATGAAGAAGCAAAAAAACAGCTACGTCAGGGCTTCCAGTCAAATCCCCTGATAAGGTCAGAACAAATTATGCAAAAGCACAGACAGAGGTCAGGTCTTTTGCCAGATCAGCCTTGTCCATTTACTCCACTGGCCTTACTCATGTCATGATGGGGAAAAACTCGAACACAATAGCCAGTGCTCACAACAAGAACTGACTCTAATAAAGTAATGGCTAAACCCATAAAACCAAACTCCTTAAGAATCCCATAAACAGTGATAGAGTAATACTGCCTGAATTAGGAAGTTACTTTTAATAAACTTTTAAGTCTGCCTTATAAATCAGACATGTAGTAGAGGATTTAAAAACACAAATCATGCACTCAGTCAGGTAGTGGGTTGTTTTGTTGTTGTTTTTAATTTTCACGGTACACACACAGCCTACCTTAAGTTACTGCCAGAATTCCATTATTCTATAACAATTTATGCAGACTAATGAACTTTAGTAGAGAGAGTACTTAAGTAACAGCCTGAGAAGACTTCAAACATTCTCAACTATAGATCCACCACTCTATAAATATTTCCAATTCAACTATCATTAGTTACTTAATACCCTACTATTTTAAATACATTAAAAAAAAAAGATAATACTTACATTATCAATTGACTTAAGCCGGAGGCCAATTTTTCCATCTTGATCCTTACACAAAATAACTTCACGAATCCCTTGCTTAATTTCTGCTCTTCGAATCCCAGCATCATTTCCAGTTACAGGAGCCACCATATAGTTCATACTCGAAGGTCTTGTTACCAGCTGCTAACAAAAATATGTATCTTTTATATACATTCCTCACCAAAAGAATGTAAAATGATAATTAATTTAAAGTGTTGTGGCTTTCTAAAAAAAGCAGTTTCCAGTACATGATACACATGAAACTTCTTGTTATGTGCTTCTAGTACTACTCACAGCAGCCCTATGAAAAAGAGCACTAATCCTTGCCCTAACCTGGGCCAATGTCAGTCTCTAACACACCTGACCCTACTGCAACAGTCACTTTATCAATCCCTCTCATCCAGGATTATTCTTCTGCAGTGACCCTCCACCATTCCAACCATGATGGTCTTTTCCAAGGACAAGTACCTCCTGGCAACATGCTCAAAGTATGTGAGACAGAGCTTCAAAATCCTTCCCTCCAAAGAGCAACCTGGTTTCACCCTCTCCAGGATGGATCTCTATGTAGTCTAGCAGTTCAATACCTTTCTCCAGCCCTACAACTCAGGAATCTATTCTTCTGTCATCCTTAGTCACTGTCCAGTTCTCAGATACAAAGGAAGTAACTGAGAAGAACACACTCCATATTTATCATCATAACAATGTCTTCTCTTGCCTTTTAAATTAATTTACTGGCATTTGTTTCCTGTGTTCATATCTTGCCATCAACTCAAATTAATTACCCTATGAAAGTCATATGGCAATATTGAAATACTGCACCTGTGCTAACTGGTTCTCTTATATGGTCTGATCATTGGCCAGAGACTTTCAGAGTCCCTGTAAAAGGGGCAGGATTCCTACTTTCAGCGTTAGGGCAAGACTAAAAGAAAAAATGGCTATGTTATACAGGTCTTGCACATGTCAAATTCATCCAGCTGACCTTATGTTGGATTTGTGGGTTTCAAGGGAGAGAAGGCCTATTTTCCTCCTGGGGAAGCCACTGGTGGATTTGAACCTCTGGAGAGGCATGCCTTTGTGTGAGCAGCCCAGCAGTCAAACATTATTTCTCTTCCACTTAAATGAACATCTGTGGATTACGTGCTGCTAAATTTATTCCAGAAACTTAGTTCAATTAACATTTAGGGCTTCCTTTTCCACCACACATGCCACACTTCTTTGTCCTCTAAAAGAACTCCCCCCCCCACCTATGGACGTGACTGAAAATGTCATCTTTAAGAATATTTCCAAGAGTTCTTAAATGCCCTGCCTTTCTTTTCTTATTTATATATAAATCAACTTTTATTTGTTTCTGGAAGTTTCTGCTAATGTCTCATCAGTGACTTTTTAATTTCATGTTCTCTAATCATTCTCTCTCTGGTTAGCTACATGTCTTATTTCTCTCCTCATTCTTGGTCACATTTAATCGTAGAACAAAATATTAAGTGTCTCAACAAAGAGAAGACATGTGTACTTCAGGACAACTTATCTAACAGCAGGATAATAATGTTTGAAATAACAAGTTACTAGAGAAAATTGAAGAGACTATGATCTTATTCTCAGTGAGAAGTAGACTTGTTTTTAGGTGCTGTTGAGTAAAACTCAGAGACCTATGAACAATAGACCTGAACCCTGTCCTAGTCTGTGTCATCCTCATTACCTCTGACTTACTGTATATCCTCATGGATCTTTGAAATACTTTAGTTCATTGCTACGGTAAGTGTGTCAGTCTATCTTACTGGGGGTCATCTTCTCCTCTACTAACCTTTGAACTTTCCAAGCATGATGTCCCTTTCCAACCAAGAGCCTCTCCTAGCAAGTCCAAAATATGAGAGATGAAACTTCACCATCTTTGCCTTCAAAGAACATTCTGGTTGCACTTTCTCCAAGACTTATCTGTCTGTTCTTTTGACTGTCTATGGAAATTCAGTGCTCTTCTCCAACACAACTTAAAGGCATCAATTCTTCTGTCATTCTGGTCTGAATCAGGCACACCTTAAGTCTTCATACTGACATCACAACTCTTAAGTATTTCAGAATGGTCCTTGACAGTGGACTTTCCCAGTGCAACACGTCCCCTAATCTCTTGACTGCTGGTACCAAGGGTGTTTCTTGTTGACCCAAACAAGATAAAAATCATTGATAGCTTTAATCCTTTCTCCATCTATAATTGTCCTGTGATTGAGGACCTTTGTTTTCTTGATATTGAGATTAATCTATACCAAAGGCCATAGTTCTTGGTCCTCCTCACTTTCTACAAGCAAGGTTGTGTCATCTGCATAACACTGGTGCTTACAGCGTCCTCAAGCTGGAGTGGGCCTGAGGTGACCTCCCTATGTGTGTTTCCAGGAGGACATCCAAGCCACAGCTTGGTGAGAAGTAGAAAAACCCTGAATTAAGGTTTTAAGAGGTCACTGGAGCAGATTAATACAAGAAACATGCAGACAGAATCACCGAGGCTTAGCATCTGATTAAACATTGACAACTAAGATGAACTAAGGCTTCTAAAGCCTAAAATTCTAAAATCTGGGAAAGTAGTTAGTTCATAATGAAGTACATAATTATGATACCTTGTGCAAACAGAGCTTACTCATTATGGTTTGTACTGTTGTTCCCTTTTGTAAATTTTTTTAATTATTAATTTAAATGAAAATTTACAGAGACTTTAGATTTCCATTTATTCATTATTGCACTTTTCTCCCCTCCCCCCCCCCCCCCCCCCCCCCCAGTACACTCCCCTCTTGGAAAAATAAAAGACAAATTCTTTCATTGATTTACAACCCCCGCTCCCCCTTCCCTTCAGGTCCACTCCACTATGCAGTCTTCGCCCTGGACTCCCATCACTAATCATGTATCCCTTTTAAACAGGTATACATAATTGAACTCATCTTTCTCAGTCTCCCCCCAACCCCGATGTCAATCCTGTTTTACAACAATGGCACCATGTAGTATTTGTCCTTTTGTGACTGAGATACTTCACTCAACATGTCCTCCAGAGTCTACCATTTTGAATAATATTGCATGAGTTCCTTGTTTTTCAATGCAGCATAGTAT